CATGGAAAAATATCAAGAGGCGAAAACAGGATAGAGGAAATTATTTATTCATGGCCCTGATGCAGGGTGGAAAAGGCAAAGATGATGATGACAGGGAAAAGATACAATACAAATTATTGTACTGGGATGGTTACTTACCTTAAACACAGATGTCACGTCAAATTGATTATTCGGGAAGTTGGAGTAGGAATGGACAGAGTAGAAATCCAGCACCCCCTGAAAATAAGATGAAACCAGTGTTCACAAACATGTATTTAACTGTCCAGAGTTTATGTATTGTCCACAAAATGATACAAAGTCACAACTCAAACATTTTGAAATTTTAATATATATATTCAGACTTCAACATAAGTTAAGGACCACTTACAAACACTCTAAGCGGTCTTCTTTGGTCGACCTGCACATGGGCGTTCTTGGACTGATCCATTGGCTTGATGGCGCAGCCTCAAGCGGACAATGACAGAGTGTGACACTGCAAGCCTTCTGGCAACATTTCGGGCTCCAACTCCATCCTGCAGCCATGCCATAGCTCTGGCACGATCAAAGGCTCTCAGCTTTCGTCTTGGTGGCATGTTGATGCAATATTGGATTTTGCGTAAACGGCGGCTTAGATTGCCACCAAAGTGAGCACAGTTCGAGACCGTACGTCCGTTTATCGCGTCCACGAGAAATTTTAACCGAGGAATGTCCGTGGTGTCACACACAAGTAGGAAAAAAACACAGAAAATTAGGCAAAAATTCCTCGAGGATTCCCGTGCTGCACGTGGTGGTTTAGCCCCTTAGGAAGCGTTGCAGTACTCACTGGCAACCCATTAACACTTTCAGAGCAAATTTTTTTTTTAACATTCCTTGCTGCCTTTTTTTAGGTTAAAAAAAGCAGGGCTGTCTGCAAAGGTGGTCTTTACCTTTAGTTGAAGTCTGTATATATATCATATCAGTCCAAAGTCAAAATCATTTAAGGAACCGAATACATTTATGTATAGTAAATAATATGAATACTTATATTACGTGTATTGTATTATGTGTATTCTGTTTCACAAAAGATTCTGACGTCAGACTGATTGGAGGATTGATTTAAGTGACCTTTTAAATTCTACCCTACAGCTGATCCTTTTTTGAGTTGAACATTCTTTAAAATTAAGCACGCTAATAACTTCAAAGCATTAGGCCCTACTGTTTGGATGGATATCGTATTATAGATTCCGTATCCTAAAGAATGTTTCTATGGAGAGCTCTGTGATGGGTGCAGAAGAAGAGAACGACAGAGACAACGCTATAAGAACGTCATCGAATGCCACATGAAGAACTTTAACATACTCATGACACCATCTGGGAAAACGAATGCCTTAGTTGGTCCAAAATGGCGTCTGAGAATTTGATGGTCTAGGGCTAAGGTGGGACTGAGAAGGCAAAAACAATTGTACGGTGTCTCATGTGACTGATGACCTCGAACATGCACACCTTAACCAAAAAAAAAATGGTAAAGTTCTCAGTCAACTTGGCATTTGTTAGTTGATTACACATATAAACAATAATCTCATGCAAGAAAAACATTTGTGTGCATGCTCAAATTTTCTTTTGGAAGGAAATTTTTGTGTCATCTGTCACACCAGACACCGTCTAGATAGTCAAGCATTTGGTGTTGTTTCGCGAAAGGTGGATAAAAACTATCCCAAAATTACTTGTCAGTTCTGGTAGAGCACACATTTCTCTTGTGAATAGAAGCAATGTTGGTGCCGAATAAGCGATTCTAAAAAATGGGAACATTTTGTCACCTTTTGACCTGGGCTCACATAAACTCTCACAAACCCAGATAATGCAGACCATCGCAATATGACTTCCAAGTAAAGTATAATTATAATGTGGAAGATAAAGTAGATCTAAAACAGGCATTAAACGTTCCTGCTTAGTTTATACCCCTATGTCAGATAACAATCGATATCGATCGACAGCAGACGAAAATAGTGCAGTGGGTAAAGTCTCAAGGTCAAGGAAAACTTGTAACAGTTGATTCACATGTTATATAGTCCCATGCTATTTAAGATTTGACGAAGATGAATTGAACTTTCAACTTTCCTTTTTTGTGTCAGAGTAAATTGTTATAATTATGAAACCTTGTATTTTTGGTCAGTGTAAGTTATTAAAATATTTTTTTTAACCTCATCCTAAATGCTGGAACCCAATAAAAAAGGGGGTTTGGTAAAACGACAAAAAAAAGATAAAATAAAATAAAAAGCAACAAGATCAAATCAGCCACATGGCAAGGTAAGTTTTAAAAAATGAAAGCTTATCTCAAACAGTAGGACTCGACAGAAAAGATCTTACATAAAACTGAAAAAAAACAACCAAATACATTATACAAAATTTAAAAAACTCTAAAAAATAGTTGTTTTTTTAACATTTAAAAAGCACAAAAAGTAAAAACAGAGGCAAAGGCCAACAGATAAATCAGCCAATTTGATAGAGTAAGTTACTACAAAAAATGAAAACTAATTTCTGATTGTGCAACTCCACAAAAATGAAGCATTTGAAAAAAAACCCACCCTCACAAACAAACAAAAACAAACACAAAGTCAGCCAGGGTGGCAGGATAAGTTATTGTAATAATAAAAACGTATTTCAAACAGTGAAAAGGGAGTTTGCAACAAAAACAACAACGAAAACAGGAACAAAAACAACTACGAAAACAAAACAAAAACAACAGCAAAAAAATCACGAACAAATATTTTTTTAAAAGCAGCAAAACAGTCTTCCAGCACGGCGGCGTCAAGTAACCCACCTTCTCTTTCCCCCCAGCTGCCTTGAGGCAACTGTCCTTGTAGTGGTTGACCATATTGTATTTGTCCGTCATGACCCTGCCCTCCCAGATGCCCACAGTGACCAGTGCACCGGGGTCAGCCGACTTGATGGCTGCCGATTGCCAGTTGATAAACCTGGACATGTTTTTGAGGATGAGGAAAGTGGGGAAACAAATACATGAAGAGAGTGACAGGGCGAATTTCGTGAGGCTTGTTTTGACTTGGAATGTTCGCATGCACCATACTTTATGAAACAGGAAAACATTAAATGATATCAACAGACAAGAAGTTGGAAATGGCATGACATATTTCGTAAGCCGAGACTTGACTTGGGTATGTTTGTACAGTTAGATTTATGAAACAGAATGGCTTGGAATAATAATAATCAGGAGACCAAAACTAGGAAGTGACACGACACATTTCGTAAGGCTTGCTTTGCTTTTCAATGTTCTCACCAATCTACATATTACTATAAAACAGGAAAACAGAATAATTTCACAAGACAGAATATGGAAAATGGCATGACATATTTCGTAAGCCTCGTTTTTTTCTTCTTGTTGGAATGGTCTCATCGTTTGAGTTATGAAACCAAAAGGCATGGTATAATGAGAAAAAAGTGTGAAATGACAAGACAGTGACATATTATTAGTACTATTTTGTAAGGCTTATCTTGACTCGGAAAGTTCGCACTGCGTATAAAACTGGAAAACGTTGAATAATATCAATATACACGTTATATAGGGAGAGGCATGATAAGATATTTCTTAAAGTTTGTTAATTTGAATTTGAATTTTCGCACCATTCATGAAACAGGAAGACATGGAAAAACGATTATAGAGAAACTATTATAGCTCTCGATAGGGCAATGTGGAAAGTGTTTGTTCGTGGTCTATACTCTGATCCAGGGTGAGACAGGTAGTGATGATGATGATGATGATGATGATGATGATGATGATGATGATGATGATGATG